ATAGTGAATGGAACACTATAATGTATCCAGAAAAGAAAGAAGGAAGAAGAGATTTGCTGAAAATCTGTAATAAATATTTAATGTACAATATCGTTCTAGGCCGCAACTGCACCTATAGAAGTGTGAAGAATAATTGGCTTGAACATTAGAAAGCAATATGTGAATTTCATACTTCTGCTTAGTCCTTGGGCATTTCTGTATCCTGTGGAGATCAACTAATCTGGAATTCTATGAATCAGTACTTCTGGAGATTTTACATTGGTGTGGGCAGTAAGTGCAGCCACTGACCCAATTGAGAATGAGATATTTGAGATTGGTGTTAGTGACCCCATTAGTATGTATAATTGTCTCTGGTGACTGGCCTCTCTGATGAAACATAAACATCACCATATGCTTGATCGAAGGCATATTTGGGTTTTGTGTGTGGGCACCATCTCAGTTTCTCATACTCTACAACAACAAGCATTTAGATCATAATCCTGATTTAGAATCCTCAATTTACATGTCTGTTGAAGGTATCTTATTGTACAGAAGGCACTTTCAGCTTTACAAGGGCTTATGCATTTGACAATACTGTACTATCTGCTTGCTAGAGATCCATACCAAAGAAACTTCTCACAAACTATGGCGGCTGCCATGTTAGAGAAATTTGCTGCCATTTATCTTAATACACATGGAATATTTTGAATATGTTAAAAGGAAGATGAAAATAGTTCTCCGTGTACTTAAGCAAAAAGTTAGTTGAGCCATTCCATATCAAATCGCACAAAAGTTCGCAAAATTTGATATTATATATTTTATTGCTTCCTAGTTTTAGTACATTGTGCACATAGGATAGAAAAAAGTAATGTAAAGTAATAAATCAGTTTCAAAATTTACTATTTTGCGATTCTCTGAAACAAGAAAAGTGAATTTTCAATGTCTTGCAACTGTCCATCCATTTGAGGATAAATAATGCTAGGGTCTAAACCATTCTCGAGAACCATTGTGTACTTGACCATTCTAAAAAACCTGTGAATTTTAAATGCATCTTTTAGTTTTACTTTACATGTAATCCCTAGGAGATTTTCAAAGTCTCACAAAATTTTTGCTTGAATAATGCAACATGCTCTTATAAAAATGCGTAAGTTCAATTTTCATTGAAAATTAAAATTTTGATAATTGCATATTAGAAATTATTTATTAACATAGGCCTGTATAGTTAATTCAATGGTTCATATAAGTAAAGTCAAAATATTTTTGAATGCTTGATGCTTATTTAGCTTAGATCACTAAAACGTTGAATGCTTTTGGCCAGGGCACGTTCATGACTTGCAAGTGTCCAAGACTTCTAAAATCAAGCTTCACTGCTATATATCTGTTAAGGCAGAGGAAGAGACCAGTATTAAGTAATCTGGTTGGTTTGCAGTAGTGACAGCATATGCAGGTGTTTTCTTTTTGATTATATTTGTTTTCTTTTTATTTACAGGAGCTCAGTTCAAAGGAGAATGAGTCTATGCACAAAAAGGTGAAACACAACCATGAAACCAGTGTAAAAGAGGACTCTTCAATTCAAGTAGGTGTAATTTGTGTGAGAATTTCACTCTTAGATTTACACTCTAAAGAAAGCATCTTGGGTTAAGTTCCATTCCATAAATTTTGACTTTGCTTTTTGCGTTTGTTCAATGAGAGAAATGTGTAATACTTTAATAAAACAAGTGGTGCTAAAGCAGCACTTACTATCTTGAATTACACTATATAACACAATTTTTTTCTGGGTTATCAATATCGTGTTCTAATTGATACTATTTTAAAATCATGAAGAAAAATTACTTCCCTGCAACAACTTCGCTTTTGTGGTCAGCAGAACACAAGGTTGAATTTTCTGTGGTCATTAAGGAAATATATACATTTTCAGGTTTATCTTTATTTAATGAAAGAAAGGGAATGTTGTATTTCAAATCAATAATATATTTTAACCCAAATTATACAAATTGACAACAAAGAACGTAGAATTGTGTAGTTTTGAGAAATTTGCTAGAGTATGTCATATCACATTCATGAATAAGTCTCCAAATATAGTCCTCAGTCATGGGTTTGTTGTAGGTTCCCTGGTTCAGTTACGTTCAGAATGTGGTGTGGTCTGATGCATGTGCTCAAGGTGGGTTTCAAGAATATGTATTTTAGAGAGACATCATGCAACCCATTTTGCTGTGCTTTTTAACCTATCTCGACCAATTCAACATAATTCTCAGCATTACGATTTCCAAGGAATCCTGTAACTACAAAACAGGTCCATATTTCATTCTCCTTTGCTCTGAGAAGCTTTGGAAACTCTTGACACTCAATAACTTCATTTTTGAACAAATACATCAGATTTAACCTTGCTTAGGTAAGCATTGAAAATAGGTGTTGTAGATGCTTGAATGCTCCAGATTCCTTGTGCATCACTACCACAAATTGATTCATCAGTCCTATTTTTATGTGCAAAGGGGCAATAGAACTATTTGATGGTCTACAAGTGGCTCCCATTTAATGTTGTGATTCCCTACAGAGAACTCAATACCTTTATTCCAATATTGTTTGTGGTAGTGTGCTTGCTATCCCACAAAGGTAGCATAGAAGCATTGTAAATCCTGCATCGTGCCCATCAAAAAGACAATCATTTTGAAGTCTCCAATAACTTTCCAACCACATTCTTTATATTTCAATGCATTTAGCTATGTCTTTTCATTGCGGTAATCTTCTGTAAACTGTGAAAAATGGGCAAGGGCATAAATTTACTATTATGGAGTATTATTGCTTTCAAACATTTTGATGAACATTCTATAAAAATCCACTACTTACTAGGATGAAGAGTAGTTCCAGTGTTCTCAAACAAACCAGTTAGATCACAACAATAGCAGAGTTCATATTCTTTGATGAACTATTTGGAAAATTTGGTATGTCACTTCCTCAGATTTGACACTTTCTCTGTTTCATCCAACACTTTCCATTACCTCAGTCTGGTGTTAAGAGCACTACATTGGACTTTGTAAGACTAGGGACCCTAATCAAATCATTTAGGTGCTTGGTTGGGGTAGTATGGTTTTCATTAATTGGTTTAACCTTCATCACAGTAATTAGGGTCTTCAAAATATTCTGCACTTTCCAAATTACTATTACATCACCAGTTTCATTACCAGTGATGTGGAGGAATAGGAACAGAAAGTTCAGGGCCATGTGGTACAGGAGTAATGGATGATAGTATTTGGGATAAATTACTGGAGGGTCTTTCTTGCCAATCCATTGTTTAGAAAAGTTCACCATGCGGAAGTAACAGTTCATAGAATGATCTGTAGGTGACATGCCCTCAATCAAACGAAGTGAAATGAAATTGTTGAAAAAACGAATAATGTTTATTGTTTGTATCAACAATGTAATTGATCCAAGATTCCTGGATCAAGTAGAATAATTGAACTTTACTTTTGGTAAACAATCTACAAAAACATACTACATTTGTTAAATATTATTGAGTCAGTTTTCACATTTTTGGTAATTGAAAACATCTGTGTTTCTTGGTCATTATATTTTAAGACTTTGTTTCGAGTTTATATCTAGTTATAGATTTCTTTGTCATTATTTGATTTATTATAGTTTGTTTTATTATTAAATTATTTTAATTTAAAGATCTTACATTTAGGAATAGATTTTTAAAAAAATTAACTTCAGTGTAGAAGGTAAATGGCATGTTTGGAAAATTTGAACTTTTGCCATTTTCGAAATACTAGAGTTTTTAATGAAAATTGAACCTCCATGTTTAGCAAACATTGCTCTAGTTGAGCAAAAAGAGACAAAGTATTTTTGAGAAAATTTCAAAAACGTCTTCAAGGCTTCATGTAAAGTACCCACAAGGTTAAAATTATCCATTTCAAATTTAATGGGCTGTGCCATCAGCCAGTCTAATTGAGGAATATCAATTTTTGTGAGAATCATGTGAACCATTGAAGGATGTTCTTAGATAATGGGCTGACAGACAGAAGATTTGCCAAAACATGTACTTCAATTAAAATCTAGTGGCTTTTCTTTCTTTCTTTTCTTTTCTTTTTTTATTCTTTCTTTCCTTTCTTTCTTTTCTTTCTTTTCTTTCTTTTCTTTCTTTCTTTTCTTTCTTTCTTTTCTTTCTTTCTTT